AAAGAAATGAATATTTTCATCATGCGCCACTATTTCATCCTCACAGATCTGGAAGTTAACACCAAAACTTACCTGACACCTCTACACGCACGTTTTATAGCAGAATTCCCCGAAATGAATGCCTCAAAGCAAAGAATAGGTGATCAACGTCGCGCTATTGTCCAGCGCAACTTTCTTTCAGAGCAGGAAATTCGGACCATCAAAGAAGAAGTTAGACAATTATTGCAAAATCAACCATCAATGTCGCAATGTAGTACAGATAATGATCATACCCAAACCCGTAGAATGAGATGGACAACTAATTTAAACGAAACTATTATGCGGAGTTATTACCGTTTAACAAAGTTAGAAACTGATTTAACTACATACAGACCATTATTACACCAAGACACAATCTTAAAATGCCCATCACTCGCACATCTATCGGCACAACGAATATCAGACCAACGCCGATCCATTGTGAATAATCATCTTCTTTCTTCCGATAGGCTAAACCAAATTAAGGAAGAAGTTCGACTGGAACTAATTTCTATAAACATGGATAACACCGAATTTGTAACACCACAACAGACAGCACTAGAAACACAAACACCACCAACGCTAACAAATACAAACGACAATAACATTGAACAAGCAACACTAACAATCACCAACGACATAAATCCACAAACAACAGCCCAAAATACTCTAAATCTGCCCACATATATACTGGGACAATTAGAGGAAATGTACACTAACCACTACAATAAATTCAAGGATTCTGAACCTACAACGAGACCATATATTCCCAAATTAAAACCATCTAGGAAATTGGCAGCTATTATAGACAATATCAATGCACATATTCTCCCAAACGTACTAACTTCCGATACTGACTTTCACACACTACAAACATCTATTTATTGCGCAGCATATACCACAGCCGTATTCAACGGGGCTAGAATTAAAGAAATTAATCAAATTAGCAATCGATCAGAAAAAATCCCGTGGTGGCAAAAAAGACTAGAGCGTAGGATTATGGAGCTCAGAGCTAATATAGGAAGGCTTACTGAATACTCAAAAGGGGTCCGATCGCAAGCCCTAACAAAACACATCGGTAACATAAAACGTAAGTACAAAATACACACTCGTCACGAAACAGAAAACACAGACATTGCACATTTTTTAGATACTTTAAAGCAGAAACTTAATACACTAGCTAGTCGATTAAAAAGATATAAGGAGACAACTAACAGAAAAACCCAAAATACACAATTTAAAAATAACGAAAAACTATTTTACCGAAAATTAACCCAACAAAACAACAGATCCCAAGTACACACCTCCTTACCTACTCCCGAATCACTTCACGCATTTTGGTCAAACATTTGGTCTACTCCGGTCACACACCACCAAAACACTTGGATTGATGAAGACAAAGAAACTTGGAAAAATACGCCAGAAATGGAATTTGACCAGATTAGTTTACAACTTTTACAAACAGTGATAGGTCGGACGCACAATTGGAAAGCAGCAGGGTCAGATAACATTCACAACTTCTGGTATAAGAAGTTAACATGCACTCATACATTATTGCTAAAACACATCAACACATTCATACAATCGCCTGACACAATGCCATCATACATCACGCAAGGCACAACATACATGCTACCAAAAGACCCATCAGATACAGAGAACCCTGCTAAATATCGTCCAATCACTTGCCTTCAGAACATATACAAAATAATTACATCATGCCTCAGTGAAACTATATCTAAATACACACAAGAACATAATATCCTAGCAGAAGAGCAGAAAGGGTGTCGAAAGAATAGTAAAGGGTGTAAGGAACAACTAACTATTGACGCTGTAGCATCCGAACAAGCACTTAAACAAAAACGTAACATACACACTATGTACATAGATTACAAAAAAGCCTTTGACTCCGTCCCACACTCCTGGTTAATCTATATTTTGAAACATTATAAAATTCATCCCCGTATAATTCATTTCTTAGAAAAAACAATGCCTAACTGGAATACAAAACTAAAAATACACAATGCAAATAATCAAATCACCGAAACAGATTTTATTTCTATAAAAAGGGGCATATTTCAAGGTGACGCACTCAGCCCCTTGTGGTTCTGTCTGGCACTCAACCCACTGTCTCACATGTTAAATAAAAATGATTATGGGTTCAAAATTAAGAATAATTCTCAACATACTAGTCTCAGTCATCTGATATGTACATCGGATGACATCAAACTATTTGCAAATACGATTAGCGAAATAAACACCCTCGCAGACATCACACAAACATTCTCAAATGACATCTGCATGGAATTCGGAATAGATAAGTGCAAAATTCAGTCAGTCATCAACGGACTAGTAGCACCGACATCGTTCGTACTAAAGAACCATGAAATTATAGAATCTGTAGATCCCAATGAGGGCTATAAATACCTGGGTTACTACCAATCTACAGGACTTCACCATAAAAACACAAAGAAAACACTGCAACAAAATTTTAGACAGAGACTACACAAGATACTAAACTCTCACCTCAATTCGAAAAACACCATCAAAGCCATCAACACGTTTGCTATTCCTATACTAACCTATTCTTTTGGAGTTGTACGATGGACGAAAACTGATCTCACCACACTACAAAGACTTATCAACACCACTATGACTAAGCACAGGAAACATCACCCCAGGGCCTGCGTTCAAAGATTAACTCTACCTAAAATTGAAGGTGGCAGAGGAATTATTGATATAACAAACCTTCACAACAACCAGATAACAGGACTCCGAAGATTCTTTTACAATCGTTCACAAATTTCTCCACTTCACAGAGCCATCTGTCAGGCAGACACATATACACCACTCTCTCTAGCACACCACACAAAACAAATGACCACAACCACTAAACAACAAAAAATACAAACTTGGACACAAAAATCGCTCCATGGCCGTCATCGTCTCGATTTAACCAATCCCATTGTTGACAAAACAGCGTCAAACGCATGGTTAAAACGAGGCGAGCTGTTCCCCGAAACAGAGGGGTTCATGTTAGCGATCCAGGACCAGGTTATTGATACAAAAAATTATAGAAAATATATAATCCGCGACAGTACAGACACTGCCACAGGCAACCTGAAACAATACAGCATATTACAGGGGCATGCTCTTCCATCACACAAACAGATTATAAACATAGACACGATCAAGTTGCAGCAATCATACACCAAGCACTTGCATATAAACACAAACTCATTTCGGAAAAAATACCATATTATAAATACACACCGCAAATCATCCTAAATTCACCGGAATTTAAAATGTATTGGGACAGAACCATTCTAACTGACAAAACCATACACCATAATCGCCCTGATATCACACTACACGATAAGAAAAATAAAATAGTATTCCTAATAGACATTGCGATCCCTAACACACACAATCTCAGTTCCACCCATACTAACAAACTCTCCAAATACGCAGATCTGACCATTGAACTGAAGACCCAGTGGCAAGTTAACACAGTCAAAACAGTTCCTATTATAATATCTAGTACAGGCGTTATCCCTAAAACACTCCACACAAGTCTAAAATCTCTTGATTTACACCCTCTTACATTCACACTTTTACAAAAAGCAGTCATACTAAACACTTGCAGAATCGTCAGGAAGTTTTTAACAATAGAATAAATTCTAAGACCACTAGTCACCCCAAGGTTGCTTTGACCAAAAGTCCGTAACTTTGGTGTATATCCCCAGAAATGGGTGAGGTTTTAACCTAAAACACAAATATAATAATAATAATAATAATCCATTTATTTGTAAGAATATTGTTACAGAGTTGTTAAATTAATTCTAAAAGTTCATAATATTCTACCGTTTCCGGCGTTAAGATGCCACATCAAGTTGTGACATTACAAAATAGTAAATTTACTAAATAGTGACAACACACCTTTACCCTAATATTATATTATTCTGTAAAAAATAAAAATATGGGTCTAATGTAAGTGGCATATTCATAAACAATTAGTAATCCCTCCATTGCATAATTATTATGCAAAACTTTTGTGATTAACAAAGAATAGTAAGCATTACTTGTGGGATGTGCAGCGGGCCTGTTATTAAGTATACTATGTAGTACAAAAATAAAGATTTTTTCAGTACAGACAAATAAAAACAAGAGACAGTAACATTGGCTATCAAGCCGACCATTGGGTAATAATAATAATATGGCTTCCTTATAGTACATTATTATGTAATTTAGTGAAAAATTGCTGGCATCTTTGGACTGAGTATCTTTTATTTATTATCTGTAATGCAAATAACTGGTCTGGCATAACCTGTGCCTTCAATTATAGGAAATAAAGACATGATTTTATGTACCAACCGGAGTTCAAAATAATGTAATCTGCACATCTAGATATTGCCAGGAAGAGAATGCGACATTACCACCTGTTGTATCTTTTACCTAGCTTTTTTGGTAATTTAAGGATGGTTTATTTTCATTCATTATTGAATAAAGAGAATAGTATTGCAAAAAGGTAGAATTTTCCAGAGAGGTTATTCATGCTACTTGCTTCTTATTGGAATAAGTATCAAGTGACACCTAAAAGACTAGAAACTTTCAAATTATATACTTTAAAAGATGAAAATCCATAATATACTTGAATGTTCACACATTGAGGATGAATAGGACACTGTTTTAAAATAAATGGTTGCATTAGACATCATATTTTATGAATGACTGGATTATTTTTGTGTTTTCGTGAAATGGGAGGACTAAATTAAGCAGTTCAAAGGCTCTTAACTTAAAGTTTATGTATATAAGAGATATAATTCTATGCAATTGATACTGTTAGCACCAGAACATGAGTAGCGAAGCAATGTTTACAACAAGACAACATAACCTCAAAATGTTTTAACGCAAAACACATAACCGGCGTCAATATTACGACAAAGGACGTTATTATATGAAACATTTAACTACAGCTTTACCTGATACGGCGTCTCATCTCCATGTTCTTCCAAATGTTTAAGGTTTAAACTCAACAAACAATTTTCTTTTGAGTTCCAAACATAAAACACATCATCCTTTAACTCGATCAAACTACGCAACTTTTTGCTGGGATTTTCACTCATACAGTCCTTTAGATCTTTAAATATTTTATGGTTTGGTAATTTAGATTCATACAAACGGCTATCCATTGTAAAATAAATATAAAATAAACTCCTGTTTTTAACGAACGACAATTTCACAAGTTCACTTTGACAGTTCTTGTCGCGGTATTTTCGTACGACGTTTCGTTTCATCTTCGAGCAAGTTTTTAAAATATCGTTTAAAAAAACGTCGTCATTATTATTTTTTATTATTAACAAGTACATAGTAAATAAAATAATTTTAATTTAATGAGAAATAATAATATTACATTCGTTTAAAGTTAAAGAGTTCTTTAACATTTACGGAGGTTCTTTATTATTTTCTGCACAATAATTTTAACTACTAACTAAAACAACATATGTATTGTTTTAAGTAAAATCGGCAATAATAAATTATTATGATGGGTGGAAGTTAGTATTGCAAGTTTAGTAAATAAGTAATCGGTCTTATAAGAAAAGTCTAATATAAGAAGTTTTTTTATAAATCCGTTTTTTTTAAAGTTGAGATTGGAGACAGGTATATCTTTTACTTAAAAGGAGGTCCAACTGTAAAAGTTTCGTACATGTTTCTGAAATAAACTTTTTTTATTTTATTTTTATTATTTTTTATTGAGATTCGTTTTCGTTCGAGTCCTTTTTTGAAATAGTAGATAAGGTCGAAACCACAAGCATGCATCTATGGATGCATCATAGTGCCTGTGTAAATCGAACACATAATAATATGACCAACCCAGCCCGGTTGGTCATATGTGTTCGATTTACAGCATGGAATGACTATTTGTATTAAACAAAATAGCCGTAACGTCACTGGGTGTAAATGATGCCACGAGAAATTAATACATGTAAAATCAGCAACAAGCCCATTCGCTAAAAATTCCTAGATTTTGCAAAAATGGTAAATCGAACGGAGTTAGAATCGTATACATCACTGAAAACATTGTGGCCACCAACAGGCTCATCAGCATTTTTTGCATATAGAATATTTAATTTTAGTTTTTAGTTTTTTTAAGGGTGAAAATCGTCAGTCACTCTAAGTGGGGCGAGAGAGTGTGTCAATGTCTTACTGACTAAAACCCACCCCGTTCCTGTGTTACATACATGTATAGGTGTATCTTAACACGTGCAATGTAAATAAAATTGTTTGTTTGTCAAGGCTTACTATTTCAAGATCTTTTTGACTCAATCGACAGCTTTTTGCTAGTCTGAGTTGTTTGAGTAGGCTCATACTTTCAAATGAATAAAACGCACACTCAAGTAACTGATAGCAGCACACACATACACCCGTATATCACTTTGATTCGCAATGGTATCACGTAATTTTATCTCCCTCAGCGCCGCCCATGCTTTCTTATAAATAAAACAACATATAGGAGGCAATAAATTCCATTCTACAAGATTTCGTACGTGAATTTTCGTTGTAATTTAATATTTTGTATGTTTTAAAGGTTCGTGGATTGTTCTTGGCATTGAATGAGTGGGAGCTGTTTGTTGAATTGAGATTAGGAGTATATGACTATACTTACTATTCTTGTTTGGCTTGTAGTAACTGCAAAGTGGAGTCACAGTAGAATACTATTTCATTGTCACCCCTGATGGTGCCATTAAATGTCATTTTTAAGTGTGGGACAGTTCACTTCGGTACTGATGAGTCTTCTCGAACTGAATTAACTACGGTCATACAACACAACAAACTACCAAAGCCTTGTGTTTTGCTAGTGAGGTTATTGAAGGTCCAATCTTGAATGAAACTAAGCTTCGAGCAGGCTTTGAGATTGAGATAGCATCAGCATGTTGCTGGGGCTGCCCTGTTTCTGTAGCGCATCTGGAATGTCGTACGGAGGCTCGCGTTGGTAGTTTTTATGCCATCACTCGCAAAAGAACCGTCTCCTTGTTGCGCAAAGTGCGGGGTAGCACTAATAGCAACCTGAAGGTAGTCGCTTACAAAGTCAACTCAGCAATACCTAGGTAATGCAAGTTTTCATGTGGGTTCTAGTCAGATAGTATAAATTGTATTAAACTGACCAGTATATTAGCAGCATAAGTAAGTAGCCTATTACATGTTCTATTTTTTGAATTACCACCAATGTTACTAACATCGTTTTTTGAGATTTTGTACTAGGTAGGTACTAACTTAATATGGTCCTTTATCCGAAATAACGTTATTATTATTAAATTAGTATTTAGTGGGGAAAATCTTCAAATCCCTTATGTCGCCCTGGGGACGGCGAGAGGGATGTATCTGTGTATAATTTGTCAATATGTATCTTTATTGCTTTTCCATAAGTACATTTAAAGGTGGTAACAATTTGTGTGAGATCAATTATGGACCCTGTAGGACACAGCAAAATAAGGCAAACAGGAATTGTTCGAATGCTCTCTAAAATATCATGTACCTAATACTTAACCGAAGCAAAAAAACAAGATGAGTAAAAACGTGTGTCTTCTCAAACTATACAGGGTGTCCTTTTGAAGGAGAGACCGATGTCGCAGTCGTCAGCTGAATAAGTAATACAAAGCCAAGAGCCGGTCGCGATACCATTGATAAATTTAGCAGAACTCTCACACGATATTAAAGGGTGGTGAATGTACGATATGCCTCCCTCTCCGATCTATTATTATGCTGTACAGGCCCTCACAATAGGGCTGCTACTATTTTTAAAAGGAAACTATCAACTTTATTACTAGTTGTTACCTTATATTTTCACTAAACGAACTGATATCAAGGCTTCACAGAAAACCGCCTTGGATTGGAACAACCAAAGCGTTGTGCCCTCGAGTGGGATTACTAGGCCCAATTATTGCCAATATCCTATGGGCGACGCCGATTGCTTACCATTAGGTACCTAATCCACCTTCTCGTTTTCTGATCTATTCCATAAAAATAAACTACTAGTCTAGTGTACTAAAATAAAATTTTGACTCTGCACTGTCGATATTATTACATTGACATGCTGAAGAAAAAAGCAAAAAAAAAAAAAATTACGGCTGTCTTTCATTGTTTGTGAGGTCTTTTTACTACTGGCTCTGAATTAGTGTTAGTTAAGAAGCTAAGTTAGTGTTATGGCCTTTAACACAAAGTTTAAATAGCCGTTATACCAAATAAGATTTAATATAAAACGATTTGTATGCTCTATGAGCTACAAAACCGTTATTTACAATCTTATCTGTGGTCTGGTCAGGGCTGCACTGCAGTAAAAATATATTCACGAGTTCCATATACGAAACTGCTGAAAGATTTAGAAAAAAAATATTAAAGAACACATCCTCCATTTGAATTCCAGAATTTTCTCGATGTTTTTTTTCTAGTATTCCTACCAAAAACAATTTTACCATATCCACGGCAACCCTGCGTTGTCCGCCGGGAGGACACCGATGACTTGTCATTAATAACGACAGCAGAAATGTATCAAAAGGTGACACGCGTCCCGACGTCTGTCTCGGCCCTTATTTATGATACCACCAAACAATATTTATTCGCGTCTATATGCTGCGGGCATTAGCCTGTGACGGACGTGTGTTGTTTTACTTAGACATTGATACACCTCGGGTTTCATTAAGTTATTTGTTTAAGTGGCTGTTCTAATGCTTCTAATAGGGATCTTTTCTAGAAGATTCAGAAGATTCTAGGATTTGATGAACATATTTATCTGGGTCGTAAATTCGTTTTAACTTAGCAATTTATTTAAATACTAACTTTCGCCCGCAGCTTCGCTTGTATTTTGATAAAAGGCAGCCTATGTGTTACTCCAGGGTATCACCAATTTACATACCTAATTTTAAGCAAATCGATCCTAAACTTTTAGCGTGAAAGAATAACGAACATACATCCTGACATTATCACAAAGTTTCACATTTATAATATTAGCAGGATGACACATAGAGACTTTGTGGTTACACAGCTTCAGACTTGTTCACACATTTTAAAATTTTACATATCGAAAAAATTGATATCCTTCGTTATTTACACCTAGAAGTCTCAATACAGGTCTCAATATTTTGGTGACAGTTAGAGTTCTAAGAGTCCGTTCTCAGGTTGTCATTAGACTATTAGATAAGTACCTAGGATGTTCTCATTCGATATTTAAGCTTATATATGTATATGAACCTGACCAAAGAATCAAACATTTCACAGAACTACAAAACAAATAAATATTCAAATAATCAAAAGTAGGGTGGCAGCACCAGTTCGCGTCACGTACAAAATATGGCCATACAATTTACACAATATCGTCATATGTCAAGTGTGTCACAGATCCTCACGAGGCATCTACCCCAATTACTGTTAGAATTGTTTCACACTGGCTATCTATTACCTCCCTAGCTCTCGACTTGGGAATTGGGACACGGTTGTGTGATAAAAAATTGTCGGATCTGTCGTAGCTGTCGCATTTGTCGTATTCTTGGGGAAACGTCGTGAAGTAATTACTATGATTGATATATTTGTGCGTATTCGATTACTATGGGTGTTGTGGATGTGAGTGTAATATTAATAATAGTTGCTCACAGGTACATTATTTGTTCAGCCAGGGTTGCGGGTATAAGCGCAATGTGGCACCGCGGACTCGGCCTTAAGCAGGAGAAGGAACGGGGTGTCTGTCACTCTCTCTCGCTTTACCCTGCGCGAGAGAAGTCATTTGAGGATGCTCCCTTGACAGAAAAATAGTACATTATTTGTAAGCATGATTATCAACGTCAGCTTTTCTTCGTCCACACTTGAATTATGATGTCACCAATAACAAGCCACTAAGCTCGTTTTGTAAGTAGGTACAAACGTTATGTCAGTAAACAAGTTAAGTTAAAAATAAAACGACATTAATCTAAAACACATTTACAACATAATTTATAAAAACATGTAATCAACGCACATAATTTTTCTTTTAAAACTTCAAGAGCACTCCATTGTCCACTCCATAGTCAGAGCCTGTAACACCTTTAGCTTTATCACTGGCCAGGAACAGGATCACATCAGCAACTTCCTCAGGTTCCGATATTCTGCGTAAAGCAGTAGGTTCCACATGATCATCAACCACTTTATTGGTGTCCAGAGTCACCAGCATGTTTGTACGCACAGGCCCTGGACTCACGATGTTTACTCGGACGCCAGAGGCTGCCAACTCCAGA